AGACAAAGCTGTTTGTGTTTGCGTAGGTGGAAACCTGTAGCGGGATTGTGCAGTGTGTTGACTCGCTTTTCTACGCACCAATCATTTGTTTCTAGTTTCGAGACATGATATGTTTGGTTTCATCTATGCGCTGGTCCGGTAAAACATGTGCTTCTGCTCGTAAAGTCCGCCACATTATATTGCTGTGAGTCCATGATCTTCTGTACTCATTAACTACGCAAGCAGGACAGAAAGAAGAAAAAATAATAAGAAACAAAACGCCAGACAGTCATTTTTGTGGCAGGTAGCCAGTGGAACTCGTCCAAATAGCGCATCATGTTTGCACGGTTTGAACAAGCTGTAAATGTAATCAGAGGTGCTGTGCTACGTGCCCAACTCCGGGGACGGGCTGAAGCGCTTGACAGAGCGCATCGAGCAGTGGGACGTGCAGCTGAAGGAGCGTTTGCTGGCACTGGCCCAGAAGAAGCAGGTGGTGCTAATGGGCGACCTAAATGTGGCACACCGGGACCAGGACATCTGGAACGCGGAAGCGCCGCACGTGCCCAAAAGCGCGGGGACAACTGCTGAAGAGAGGGAATCCTTTGGAAAGCTCCTTGAGAGTGGGTTCAAGGAGCCGAGAAAGGGAGGGGGAAGGGTCGTCTTGAATAATGTCGCATCCCACACAATACATGCGCATGAATGCAGAAGGGATTGTCTCCATGCTTACATGAACAACCAGACATGTCGTCAGAGAAAACTGTGCCACGGTCCCACACGATCAAACATTGGTCCAGACCGAGAAACCGAAGACATTGAATCTTGTTTAGAGCGTTGCGACTGAGGCGGCCTTGCCCGCGACAAGGTTCATAGCTGCTTGTTGCGTGAATGTTGCTCACAGCTGCTGGTTTGGAATAGACAGGTTTCGACTCAACGGTTCGTGCAGTTGGCTGTTCCGTGCGTGGTCTTTACCAGGGAATGGTCAACAAAGGCCTGTGCCCGGAGAGAACACTGCTTCTATTGTTAGGGACACGTGGAGCGATCAGACCGGAGGATGGATTCTGCGTGTACCATCCGGAGGCGGGCATTCCTTGCTTCTGCTGGAAACATGGATAGAGTGTAGGACCAGGAATGCAAACTGCCTTCGCTGAAAGCTGCCGTGTAACCCACAAAACAAATGAGAAGGAGACTCTTCCACAAATCATGCAAGCACGAAGAGGGGCCAACCACTTGGAGGAGCCTCATTCAGTGACTTGGGGCTTTCTTTGACAAAGCATTGAATCGGCAGGACTGGTTTTCCGTCTCCCACACTTCTCATTTGCCCCATGGGCTTAGTACGCGTCTTTGTACTTCTTGGGAACATCAGGTTTGGTGTTGGGCTACACGCGCCACGATCACTGAGCACTTTGTCCTTTGGCAAAGGAAGCCCAACAATATTGGGCACGCACGGAAAATTGTCTGGCTTCTTCGATTCTAAGTGTTGATGTCCCCGAGTCGCTTTCCGATTTTCTGTCAAGTCAATCTTCGCATCGTCGAGACATGAAGCAACAGATTCTCAACCCTTTTCTTCCCAACTACTCAACACTGCCTGAAAAGAACAGGCAACCGGAAGTCCTTCGCCCCATTCGGGTCCCTCACGTTACTTGTTGCGACGTGTATTTGGAGTAGAAAGCCGACTGCAGAATATGTCGCGAGGCTCTTGGCGCTTTCACCTACTGGAGCGTGCGGGCAGGCAACCGCAAGGTCAATCGAGGCCAGCGCCGAATCGCAGAAGCTTTGATCAAGTTCCCGGAGCAAAGAAAATGATCCAAAGCCCTGCAAAGTGCTCAGGAAGCTGAGCCATTCTCAAAGTTCCTTGAATTCGGAGAGTAGCAGGGCCGCCTACAGCCACAGATAAGAAGATGCATGTCTGGCTCTCGGCAAGTAGCTGACTTGTGCAGATCAGCTGATGCACAAGTGATTCTCAAATGCGGCCCGTGCGAAAGTGGCTGATTGGTTACTGTGGTGTTTTTCCAGGTGCTTTTTCGGACTGCTTTGCACACGCCGCCAAACCTTTATTAAATACCACTGCAACTTATTAATTATAAATGCCATTGCACCTTCATTATTATAAGTCCTTGGCTGTGTCAGGACCCTTCAGCGAATTTTAAGCCTTTTGTTGTTCAGTGATCCTTGAGGTTTGCTGTTCTTGGTTTCTCTCCAGCGGGTGAACTATCCGAAGAAAGCGATCTACTACTTTGGTCCAGCACAAAGGGTGCAATGGGATGAAACGTTGTTGCACACGTGTGGTAAGGACGTTGCCGATGAGATAGTGTTTGTTTTTTGTTGGGGCGCAGCAAGGAAGTCTTGTGCAGGTCTTCGTTTGGACTACGTGTTGGTGTCCGAGAGCTTGGTTTCGGACAAGGACGAGGACACAACTGGGGCGCTGAGGGCCTTTTGTTTGCATAAACAATGCTCGGCAACCAGCGCTTGGAACGACGTGCTTGTGTTTGAAGGTGTATTTATGTTTGTATATATGAAAATTATATATAAAATATATTTTTTGGAAATAATTGGAACATATATATATATATAATATGAATGGTTTGAAGTAATTCAAAAGACTGTATATAATTAATAAATATATACTAAATGCATAGTTAATTGTAAACGCTTCGCGTTGCCCGCCTCGGCCCAGCCTAGTTTGAGGGAAGGGTCAGGAACACCGAAATCCAGTGTTGGGAAGGTCCGAATCCTACTGAAAGCTTGTGACCGCACCAGTTCGCCCGTGCTAGTTCGATGTTCGGAAGCCGTCCTGCTCGGAAGGTTTGAAATCCAAAACCAAGACTATCTCAGCTGCTCAGTGCCCTTGGAAAAAAAGGACCTCTTTCTGGGGATGAGCATTTTCCATAAAAAGGGGAACAATAATTGGTGTCACTGAACAACCAAGACCAACTTTGGGTGTTTGGGCACCTCCATTTCACGTGGCTGGCGGCTTGCCATGACACACATGTCTTGCTCGGTTGCTCAGCCCAAGACACGTACATGGTGGGAATACAAACCTCCATTTGCTTAAGTACCCCGGAAAAATATCCCCAATAGACACGCCAGCAGGCGGGCTGAGGGACTGGGCCTGAGGCTAGTCTCAGGCTGGCATACCTTGAGACGCCGAAGGGGCCTGCTGGATGACTTGGGGCCAGACACGAGCAGGAGGTCAAGGCCCGGTCAGTTTGGGCTGAGCTGCTTGGGCAGCCGGACTGGGGGGCTAGGGCACGTCAGACAGGCTTGGTAGCTGGCGTTGCTTGAGACCAGTCTCAGACACGTGAGACTGGTCGTTGGCCTGAGGCCAGTCTCAGACACGTTAGACATCAGGCTGGCATACTTTGAGACCAGTCTCGGACTGCGCCGAAGGGGCTGGGGCCTGGGCTGAGCTGCTTGGGCAGCCGGATTGAGGGGCTGGGGCACGTCAGACTAGTCTCAGGCTCGCATACTTTCAGACCAGTCTCAGACTCGCCGAAGGGGCTGGGCCTGCTGGATGACTTGGGGCCAGACGCGAGCAGGAGGTCGGCCTGGGCTGAGCTGCTTAGCCGGACTGAGGGGTTGGGGCACGTCAGACAGGCTTAGTTGCTGGCGTAGCTTGAGACCAGTCTCAGACACGTGAGACTGGTCGTTGGCCTGAGGCCAGTCTCAGACACGTTAGACAAACCCGCTGGGCTGAGCCTGGTGGGCTGGGAGCTGGGGGCCGGCCTAGTGGGCCTGGGCTGGGCTGGGCCTGTTTCAGACAAGCTTGGGCCTGAGGCTGGGTGGGCTGGGCTGACAGGCCTGGCCAGCAGGCGGGTTGCTGGTTGGGCGGCCTGAGCCTAGTCTCAGACACGTCCGAAATTGTCAGCACATTTTCGACAAAAATGGACCCATGGAGCTGGACGCCGACGAACCCCGAAAATTTCAAGGCCCGCCGGACAGGATTTTGGGCCAGCCGGCATGGGTGGGGGGGGGGGGCGGTCTGGCAAGATTTGGTTGGGGGAGGGGAAAAGCGAAGATTCTAGCGAAGATTCTCTTTGGAGAAGAGATCTGAGCGCCCTTGGCCCCTTTGGGGCCGAGGCGAATATATATATATATATATATATATATATATATATATTTTTTCTATGTATCTCTTTGTGCGTGCGTGCGAGCTCGAGGGTTGTTCAAAACAAGGAGGTACCTCGGCTATGTGATGCTTTCCACCTACCCTCTGTGGCCACTGGTGATCATTGTCCTGTTGGCGCAGTCTTCCTGGTGCCTTGGTATGGATCGGTGCCGGGACTTGGGCAGAGAGCGGCCAAGAGGCATGGACCTCCGGTGCTTTCGTAGGCTTACTCAAGGTTGCAAGCAAATCAATGAACAAACGACGAATGTATGTTACCAGCAACGTCTTGACTACTTTCAATGCTCGATTCACGGGCGTCTCTCGCGAGCCGCCGACACTTGAAACGTATTGGACGTCTCTCTACCAGAATGGGCCATTTAACTGCCCTGTCTCTGTTTGCAAGGCAAATGCTTGCACTGCTACATTGCTCAATGGTAATTTGTATCTTCGAGTTTAGTGGAATGCAAGATGTCTTTCGTTGTTTTAGTTCAATGTCTCCACCTCCCGATTTGCACTACGCTGATCTGAACTTTACCCCATGCTGATAAGGTATGATTGCGCCTCTCGTCAAGATCATGCACTTGGCCAGCGAAGCGCATGGCTGTCTAATATGCCAAAGGGGGCAGACGGTCGGGGACAGGGGTCATCTTTGTGCACGTCAACAACAAGGTTCAGTTGAGGCCGACAATCTGTGAACTCCGTTGACTGAAAAGATGATGCCTGGTTGGGGAGTGCCGGAAGGTGCCGGGGATGTATGCAGTGGCATACTGGAGCGCTGTCTCACATGCCAAGCCAAGAAAGAAGTGCATTGTGAGCGCGTTTGGCTGCTGATGGTCCAGTCCGGCACTGAAGCCATGGTGTTCCAAGCCAACCATCACCAATCAGAATGAACCCCGTGTTGGCCAATCGATCACAGGACCGATCCCTTTTCTTTGCAGCAGTCAACAATGAGCCGGGTGCTCCGACTCCAGACCATCAGGTCCCAGGGCCTGCGAAGTGGAGGCGTGCAAATTGTTCGCGAAGCCTTTGAAGCTAGATGCACACGTGTTAATATGAGTTGCGGCATTGTCCCGCCCATGCCACAATGTGCGTATATCTTTGAAGCAGCAATTAGCCGCTTTCCTGAGGTTGGGCATGACCAGCAAAGATGTGGAGGCGCTTTGTGACATCAACAGGCCGGAGGCTGAAGCTGTGTCTACCTTCAGAAGCGGAGAAATCGCATCGCGACGCCAGGTCCACCAAACCATCACAGGCAAGGCCCGGCCGATCTCACTTGATCTGCGAGACTGTTGCTACCGGTATGTGTTGACTTCTTGCTGTCGCCGTTGCTCTCCCCTTGCCCTGATTCTACACAACTACCAACAGGCACTCACGAAGCAGGCACGGGGACCGATATCAGAATTATGTTTGTTGGGAAGCTGTGGCACGCCTCAAGAACTGGCAACCTTCCTGCTTGCTATGAAAGTGTCCTTAGTCTTGTGCCCTCGAGTGATTGAACTCATAGGGCCCAACTCTGCAATGTTGAACTTGTTGTCGTTCTGCATGTAGTTAAAACATCCCTTGCCAGTGGAACTTGTTCCAAAAACCACATGACGAATCCGGAAAAGTGTAGACACATGTCCTGCCAGGAGGGCAAGATCGGCAAAAAGGGTGTTGGCAGAGCGCTCGGTTCCTGCTAGCTAACCCTTGCATTGCCAATAAGATGTGGTCATGTGCCTCATGTCTATCCAAAATTAGGGGCCCGGTCCACCCGTGCTTTCCCGTGTCCGTGCTTCCTTGGCGGCCAGGGAACCAGTGTTTAAAGGCATGTGCGACCAAATCCATTGGCCCAGGCTGGAAGGCTGTCTTTGCGGTCAGCGACCAACCAACCGTGCGCTGCCGAGCACATCGAACGCAAAAGCTTGAACGAATGGCCATGTGGGGGCGATGTGCTTGCATAGGGCCCCTTTTAGGATGGCGTACAAGGCTCTTTGAAAGCAGCCCAGTCAGGGGTCTGTTGGTCAGACCGTAACGGAACACACGATTTGGATGGGACCCCAAACCTTTTGATACTATTTTCCTAGCCATGTTCAGAGAAAGGGCACATTGCCCGAGGTCCTTTCCGGAGCTTTCCGCTTCTGCTTCGACGCCCGGGCCCATGGCAGCGCGCTGACCGCGGAACGCGCCTTGGGAGTCTTGCGTCGAGGTCCGGCATCGCGGGCGCTTGGGGTACGTGACACCAGATGAGCTGAGCGGAGGGCTCAGAGGAGATGGGTGTCTGAGGGTGGGTGGAAGTCGAGTTCAGAGGAAACCACTATCAAGACACACCATGTCTTGTCTTTGAGCAGCGGGAATTCCTTGCCAGCCTGAAAGAAGGGTATCAAGGCTTCGGGAACTGACCATCATGTCATAGCCTTGGCAACGGGCATTGGACACTTTTAACGTCAAGCGGGCTGCCAATTCCTCAGCGAAGGTTTGGCGGATGTCCAGAAGCTACCGAGCCTGTTGCAAGAGGCTGGTTGGCTGAGCCAGAACCATGTAGCCACTATGAAGCTGTACATGATGTCTAGGTTTTGGGAAGGGCAGGAGAGTGCGCGACTGGCTTTGGGGCCACGAATGCAGGCAAGCGCCAATACGGCGCAGGCCGCGCTGCACCCAGCCGCCGTGTGATGCTTGTGTCGGAATGGTGGCGAAGTTGACAGATGTGGAAGACTGTGACATCGAAGCCGAATGGTAAGTTGGGCATGGGAAAAGCTTGACATCACTGAAACCTTTCTTGAAAGTTGGGGGCAAGTCTCGCACACAATTCCCTGCTTTTTTCCCCTGGGATCTGAGTTCTTGTAAGTTATTCTTGGGTCACATTGCTTACAAGTCATATCAGCCATGATTGTGTTGGGTTGTTTGATGTCTAAATGAGTCTGCCACAGCTACATGCCACACGCGCACAGGGGGAAGTACACTCTCTGGAGGCTAGCTTCTTCTTGGAGCTAGTAAAATGATGTCCACTGAAGCGAAACAAGTCCCAAACCGGCCGAGTTGCCGAGGCAACGGTTCTGTATCTTCCGCTTCGTGGGGGTCCGCCGACTGAAGATGGCCCGGTACTCGGCTTCATGCAGTGCACCTTCCGTAAGCTGGGTAAGGCCTTTCTTTGGAGTCAGCTATGTTGATTCATCTTGCGCTGAGTCTGGCAAGAGTGTAAATTTGGTGAGATCTGACATGTGTCAGGTTGTGCAGGATGGGACATTGACATTGGAGGGGAAATGGGTTTTGTCGCAAGGTTCTTCACGCTCTTCCGGCACAGGAGACAGAGGTGGGCTCTACATCAGGTGTCTTGCGCAAGAACTCCATTCCGTTTCATCGGCTTTCCCTGTTAAAAGGCCCGCCAGGGCAGCGCAGAGCAGAGGCGAACATGTCCGAGAATTTCTGGGTGCATGCGACCCCAAACAAGGGAAGCTGCTGACAATTTGTTCACGGTCTAATTGTGCGTCGCCTAGTAGCCTAGCCTGAGGCTATAACGGCTGTAGAAGAGATATGGGTCATACAGTTCGAAGTCAGAAAAGTTGCTGGTATAGCCTCAAGGGTACATGACAACAGTCCTTCAACGTTGTTTTGTGGTTTTCTCATGAGAGCTGGTACAGCACTCGCAGTTCGCCATGCGAAGGCGTAGAGTGGAGCCCTGCTTCATTGAATGAGGAATAAATAAATGTCACTCTCTTATTAGTCACTTTGCCTACCAAAGTTCTTCAGCCTGTTGCTTCGCAAATCAGGCGTGAGTTCCCTTAGCTACAATCAGTTGTTCATTTTATGTTGGCCAGGGCATCAAAAACTGCATTGGCAGAAAGCAGACGTTGTTGGGGAAAGAGTAAATGTGTTTGGTGGACATAACATCAATTTCAGTCGCCTGTTGGGTCCTCTTGGCGAGCCCTTTCGCAGGCCTGGAGGCCGCGGCTTTGATCCGGAGCTCCGTACAGCGATTGCTGGCGCGCCTCGGATGAAGCAGTCAGCTTCATTTCGGCAGCGGATGGCCAGACATAAGACGGGAGGAGTCTCCGGTGAAATGGATCACTCACGTGGCAGCACTATCCTGCTCAGGGTGTGGGATCAAGGGGGTTATCCCCACTTCATACAAGGGAATCTCCCCCTTGGTATGGGGGTTAGTCTTTGGGAAGCCCTTTTTCACAGAAGTGGATTCCGTTTCCCACAGTGCTGGACTTGTTTCTCAGATGTCCAGGTGCCCTACCTGGCTACTTTTCCTGCGGCAATTGCGCCGCGTGGTGGGGAGCCAAGAGTACCAAGCGTTTTGAACCCAGGAGCTCCCTGAAAAGAAGCAACAAAGGATTGTGTATAGCAGTCATTCCCTGAGAACAAGCAATTGAAGACCTTACATCGGCAAATGCGGGCGAACGCCTAAGGGCCAAAAGGTTTGAGCACCATCGCGGGGTTGCGAAATGACGTACGTAATTGCGCCAAAAAGTGCCAAACAGCTTTGCAGCTTGCAGCATTGCACCTGTTGCAAGGCCTGGCAGGATGCGACAGGGCATTCTGATTCAAGGCCGGCATGAGGGCAATGCGCTCTTGGTTAACTTTTGCACCATGACTTGAGAGGGGGGCTTGAGCATGTTTCTCTGTTTTGAGTGCTACCCAAAGTGTGCCGCATGCGTGTGCTTCGCAGGATTTTGGTTGATCATGTTCCACTTACGACCATGGCCTTGCTCAGGTTTCAAAACGTCTCGGTGGAACGGCCCCAGCCCTCAGAATGATATTGGCAGCGTGGCGAATGCCAGCACAGCAGGCACATAGCATGCTGGCCTGAAACATAGATGAATAGAAACCGTCCTTGTAGAAACTAGAAAGCAGTCCACGCAGTGGGACACCTGAATGCCTGCGGCTTCTACACTCAAATCTGGGATGCAAGTCAGCTTGACCAAGAACCCACAAGATGCCCCTGCGCAAAAATGCGCAGAATGCCGTCATCCCTGCCCCCCTCCGATTTTGTTTTGTTTGATTTGTTTCACCTTGCTCAAAGCAGGCAGGGCTTCTTGTGGTAGCATAGCTTGGATACTTGTAAGGCGCGGTGACTCCCTGCTCATCCGATCCCACAGCGAAGGCAAGACCCCGACTCGGGGAACAGTGAATTCTGATTGAAGCGACCTCAATTACAGCAGCGCCCACAGCGTGAGTGCTGACTTCACGGTGTTTAGAGATTGCAGAGATGTCTTGGGCAGATCCAGTTTGTACATGTTCTTTAGGAATATTTTAAAAAGGGGAATAAAAAAAGAAGAAGAAAAAGGAGAAGAAAAAAAGGACGCCTTAACGGTTTTTGTTGGTCATTGCAAGATGTGATTGCGAAAACGCACCCAGTAGCCACATCCAAGCTCAAGCTCCAGATGTGCGCATTGCAGTTCAACCTTTTAAACTTGATGCCAGTCCAACAACTCTCTGCTTTTCGCATGATCCGCCAAAAGCAAGTTTGTTCCTTGCTGTGACCAAACCTGGACAGGTGCTACACAGCTGTTGGAGGCAAGATGGGATTTGCAGGCTATGTGACTCATCGACAGACATGCAGCATATCATTATTTGTCTGGCAGTTCCAGCTACACAAACGAAACACCACAGATTCAAGAAGGAATGGCCAGGCGCGTAGTCAAATGGCTGAAATTTTGGCTAGCGGCTTCATTAGGAACCCACGGGCTTTGCTGCATTTTGGTGTCAACCCAACGAGGGGGTCGTGTTTTTTTTTTTTTCCCCCATATCATCAAGATCAGGCATTTTTGCAGTTGTGAGGAACGCTCAAGTGCACCCGCTCAGCGCTGCACACACGCCTTCCAAATGGTAAACACACCTGCTCCAGTGCACCCGCTCAGCAGCTGTGCCAAAAGCTGAACAAGTAAACACTGAAAGCTGCAGACAGCTGAAAAAAGAGCGGCTGCGCGCACAGGAAAGCTGCAGGACTTTGCAAACACTGTCAATAGCATTGTTTTGAGAGATCGGGTCCAAGTGCAGTAACCCATGAAACTATGGTAAACCTGAGGCGTCCGCCTAGCGCTTTTGGCGTCCCGAGCTTGAAACGCAGGGGTTCCTAACAACGCCGTTGCCTTGTTTTGGTCATACTCGCGTCACAAAGCAATGTCATTGCCACGGGCTGTTTGTGCTCCCAACTGCCATGACTTGGAGAGTTTGATTGGCCATGTCCAGTCAATACGGCTTTGGTCGTGACTCTTGGTCCTCGTGTCCATGAACGCCTTTTCTAGATATAGCCAGCGTGAGCACAAGTCAGATATGTGCATCACTTCTATTCATGATAGGTTCTAGTTTCAGACCAGTTGTAGAAAACAACGGGGACAAACATCGCAACTCCAGATGGGGAAGCCCCATGTCCCTCTGGCCTCCCTTTGAGACGATCCCAAATTCGAGTGCCATCAAACAACACACGCAGACACACAATACAATGTGATGGAGTCCTTGCTGACTGCCAGGAGATCAACTATTTTGTGCACCGCAAAAAGGCAGTATCCGGCTTAGGGCGCGGTTGTGCTGCTTGCATGTTCAACCCACTTAGGACATACCCACAATTACAGGGGACTAAGACAAGTTGTTCAAGGTGGGCTGAACATCCAACCAAGGAAATAGAGCTAAAACATTGGGAATGTTGCCATGTCTATTCTGGACTCAGGACGTGCCAAAGGAGCTGCTGCCTGCTGGAGTCGACGAAAAGAGGCAAGAGGAGGCCCGATCATAGGCAAATCTGCTGTGAACCTGGCCGTAGCTGCCCTGCGCAAGGTGGTCATTGCTTTCAGGAAGGAGATGGAAGTGGCTGGCTTAGTCGCATTCCTCGTCGTGGTGATCCATTGTCGATTTATTGCTTGAAGTTTGGACTCAAACCTGGTTCACCAGTTTCGGAACCCCGTTGAACAAAGATTGAGGAACCTATGGGTTTCTTTGGATCACGCTGTGTTTCAGCGAAGAAACGGAATGGGCCACAAGCAAATTCCCCAGGCTGATACATACAGTTGGTTTCCCTGCAGGTCAAAGCCGCTTGGGGAACACCTTTGATACCTATGTCTCCAGCCACAAATGGCACAAAACACACCAATCCACTTGCTCCGTTTATGGCTCTAAGGATACGACGAGCTCAGCCATAAAAAAGTCTTTCGGAATTCCTGAATTCGGGTTGGTGAAGAGCAACTCGTTATCCAAGTTGTTTGGCTTTGCTTCGGGAATCGGCAGGTGAAGGAGAAGTCGGAAGCAGACCCGGTCTTCTGCTTCCTGCCAGTGCGAGCGGTGGGCTTCCGCTTCTCCTTGCAGGCGCCCTGGGCTCTGACCTCCAATCGGGAGGACTTCCACCTGGAGGCTGGGGGTGCTGTTTGGGGGGCGGGGGCATTTGCCTTGGAGCTTTCAAGCGGGTGAATGATATGTGCACATTGGCTTGTGTGTATGTACACAAACATATAATGTGTGTGTTTCTTTCCTGCGTCCTGCGAAATCTATTAGTCGCTGGATGTTGTTCAAGACTTGTGTCTCGTCTTGCATGTGCCACCAAGATGAGTGCCAAACCATGAAGCTCGAACCATGGACAACTCTATGGACAATCATTAGCTCCTGACTTGGCCTGCCAAGTGATTAGCAATTACGCTGTGGGTTTGGCCTAGCATTTGAACCGTTGTTTCTTGCGCCATGCACGCACTGGCCTTGTTGTTGAAATCCTGCCAAGTTGCCAATGTTGCATTCTGGTATCACCCGCACTGGCACCAACTGCCACCGAGCTGAAGCCGAATTGCGCACGATTCGACCCCGGTGATGCCTCGCCAGGACCCGCGGAACGTGTGGCTCCGCGCCGTGGCGGCGGAGGCGCTGGCAGAGGCCATCACGGCGAGCCGGCGGAGCAACGTGCTGAGCTTGCTGGACGCCCGGCAGGCGCCGGGCGACGGGTTGGACCAAAAGCGCCCGGTTTTGGCGTCCAAGCGGTTGGCGTCCCATGGGGTGAAGATGACGTGTTTTTTTTCAGGGGAGCCCCTGGTTTGAGACATTCAGCCATCTTTGCGATGCAGATGTTGTTGTTGGTAAAAGTAAGACTGTCATGTTGGAGCGAAAGCCAGGATTCCAGATGGTCTGCAACTAGGCAAACGTTTAACTTTGTGAGTTTGGCATTACAAGATGTGAGTGCTGGTTAGGTACTGGTTCATGAGGTAGTCAACGGTTTAGGCTAATATATCAAATGCTCAAATTGACGTAAACACTGGTAAATTACATAGGCATACACCAGTAAAGCCAAGGCTTTACTTTGCTTGTTGGACAACTCTCTCTGGGTGAGTGAGAGCCGCTCGCCGAGCTGATATCAGGCATCCCAAGACATATCTACTCTAGGGCAATGCAGAGGGGTTATAATGACCCGCTCTGCAATTGTCATTCAGGTTGATTCATGTGATCATGATCTAGTCAAGGGTACGTGCAAATCTCCCTTCGCCTTCAAATCAAGTGAACTTCTGCCGATGTCTGCCGGTTCTTTCATGGGCATGGACTCTCAATGGATTCAAGATTGAAGAATCTGAGGAACGTCGTGCTCGCCTCCACGAAAATCGGAACAGCCAAAGAGATGCAGGTTCTTTGAGTGATCATACATAGTTATGTTGTTGTTTACAATGTGCACACACGAACAGAGGGGAGAGAGAGAGAGAGAGAGAGAGAGAGAGAGAGAGAGCGCACAGGATTGTGCATTGCATCAGTGTAGTTTAAACCCTTTTGTCCAGAGGTGCGCAGACCTTCCTTTTTGCGGGTGCCAGTCAGGTGCTGGAGCCCTTCTGGCGGCGCCTGCTCGAAGACGCGGTGAAGTCACTGGGAGACGCGCCCGTGGTGCCGGTGGTGGGGGAGAATCAATTGCGCCTCGGGTTCAACAGGACTTCAAAATTAAACCACCAGGGGACCACAGGTTTTAGTCATTGTTTCCATTTACCAGGGTGCCATTTTGGGTACCTATTTTTGACCCACAGCCAGATGGTGGAGCAGAAAATCCATGTTGGGTCGCGCGCCCTTGTTTTGGTGCTGGTGCTGGCTCTGGTTCTGGTATTGACGGTGCAGGAAGCTGCTGCTGCAGCGGTTGCAGTTGTTGTGATGCACATCGCCTGAGGTTTAGGTACTCATGGTGTGATTATGTTTCTTGGCGGTCCGCATTTCCGCGCGACTCAGGTATCGTCCCTCGGAGGTTCTGGTGCCTCCACAGGCAGGGTGTGGTTTGTGCAGTTCAGAGCCACACATCTGTTGTTCATTGGTTTGATTCTTGTTGACAAGACAGCATGTCCTGAAGCACGCATGTCCTGAAGCTCGGTCAGAGATGGGAAAGGTGACGAAAGTCTGCAGACTGTGGGGAAAGAACAACATGTTTTTGTGGCTAACCTAAAAGTCAAACAACTGCCACCATATATGTTTCAACTCGTTTTGCATGGCAGTGCTCATGGCATATGCAGCTCGCTTTTTTGCTTTTGCATCCCACAGATTCATTGTGGCCATGTTGATTGTTTCTAGGGTTTTCGACAAGTCAGACACTGGGGTCATGTTCCCTCAATCCACCTTTCTTTTGGGAAACACCTGGGCTGCTGTTCGAAAAGAAAGATGGGCGTCAACGCGCACCGAGACACCGAGGCGCTGGTGCGGTGCCCGGGCGCCATGCGTTTTTTGCAGAGCCTGGCGCCGGGGCTTTGGCCGTTGGCCACGGGCAAGCGCTTGGCCTCGGTGGAGGCGGGCGAGGGCACCGAGGTGGCGGAGGAAAACGCCAGGCGCCTGCTGTCGCTGAAGGCAGAGCCTTTGACGGGCCGCAAGATGAAGCTCCTGGCGACTTTGACTTGATTGAGTCAGACCAAAAAGCTTTCTTAGGAAGGTGTGTTGAGAGTGTTCTCTGGTGTGTTAGAAGCCTGGGCTGCAAGGGGTGTGCAGATTGCCCTTGGTTGTGTGTAGCCTTTGATATGTCATGCGAATGTGATCACCGTTGGCAAAGCCGGGAACTGAGACCTCAATACTTTGGCCCGCCAGAGACACAAAAAGGGGTCCTGAGTCCCATGCTACAGGACCCAAGGTTGGCCAGACTCATCCGAACAGGTTCTTGTGTAGCCTCGTCCAAGGTGGGCGTGTCTTATTTTTGAGTGTGCCCCCTTGCAAAAAAGCACCCTGCAGAACATGAACATGGAACCCAAAAAACCATCAATCGAGCATTCTTTGGCGACCCTTCTGGGATCTTCCAATGGGAGCGCTCCATTTGGCCCAAGGTGAACTGCGCCTCCAGAGAGCTGCAGCAGAGCTGTCGCGCCGCTCGGGCCTCCAATCTGCTGTCGCAGCTGCTGGAGCTGCTGAACGCCTTGCTGCAGGAGCCAACTCCCTCGAAGCCTATGGGGCGAGTCGATTTTGGGTTGGGGCAAGGTCAAGACCCAGGAATTGGACCGCAGGTTTTAGTTCATGTGTCCATTTACCAGGGTTTCACGTTGGGTACCTATTATTGACCCACAGCCAAATAAATGGAAAGGAAGCAACAGCGAAAGTTGGGAATGAAAGCAACCATTTTCGGGGCCCCTTTGAGATGCCCATACCATAGAACAAGATGGGCAAAGTTGACGGGGCCCGTTGCGATCGCGCCTTTTCCAAGTTAAGCAAGGACTCAGTCCGCCATGGAAAAGGAGTTGCCAGCTCAGTCAGTGGCTCTCGCAGGCAGCCTCGCAGCCCGAGGGAGAGATCCCTGCCTTTTTCAAGGCCAAAGAGGGCGAAGGCAGGGTGAAGAGGGTGAGGCGACGAGTCTAGAGAACGATTGCAGCTCGGCCAAGGGGTTGTCGACTGGAGTGGGTTGTCGAGTGGAGCGGGTTCAAAATTTGGTTCTTGATTGAGAGTTACTGTGGCAATGCATGAACCAGACGCCATGCGAAATCCGCTTGTTTTCCGAGTCGAGCCTGCGGGGGCTCGCAATTGAGAGACGACAGTCCGATTGACCGACCGTTCAGGGAACGTCGTCTCGAACTGTTGTTGATTTGCTTGGGGCATACTGGAAAGGGCGTGGGAACGTAGCATTTCGTAGCCACGCCACCTGAAAGTTGAACATCCATGCGAAACCGGAATCCTGAGGGCTGTTGAGTCCAAGCGTCAACGCGGGTGGGTAAAGGAGCGTAACAGGCGGCCCTGAGAAACCAGTGTTCCTTGGGCTTGTGGAGCCTAAAGGAAGCTTTGAGGACGTTTGGGTACGCTTGGAACCCCACTGCCTGGCAAGCGAACCCCCACATCCTGGGCACAGGGCCAGAAAGGCTGGTAGACCTGGTGGCGGAACTGCAGCAGATCAAGGCCGGTTGACCCGAGGTAAAGTGAAGGAACCTTAGATGAAGCCGGAATCGCAAAGGAAGTCAACCTTCGAGTGGCACCGCTCTTGCCATAATGAGTCGGCTCCTTTCGGCCGTGTTGGTGTGGCTAATTGGTTAGTTTCGGTCCAGTAGCTTGGTGACAAGCTGTTATGCTGGTAAACCTATTGCAGCGGTGGGTCTAGCATTTACTCATGGATTATCAGCAATGAGGGAAGTTGGGCAAGGGCAACTTTTGTCATTGAAACTGCTGATATTCAGGACACAACTTTCAAACAGCTTCATTCGTTTCGCTGTCGATCTCCCTGCTGACAAAGCAAAAACCGCTGCCGAGTTCGCTAAAGAATTATTTCACCATGCACCAGGATTATTGGTTTCTCCACCCCCCCTTGCTGAGCGCCTCCTTCTTTTTCTACCCCTGTGACTCAGCGGCTGTCACCTTTGAACCACATTGCTGTCATCCCCCTTGTGCCTCGCCTGGTTCCGCTTTTCCAACCAATGACATGTTGGACTCTTCTGTGTTCCATGTCATGTTTGTTGTTCATCTCAGGGGCCCCTGTTCCTTGCCTTTCCCTGCGAGCACATGCATGTTCAAGTTTTGATGGGTTGCTTCAGAACTTGCTGCATGGGTTCTGTCAGGGCATGTGTCGCCCGAATTGTCACAGCAACTTTGGTTGGAGCTGCACTTCGGTCGGGGCCGCGCAGGTGATTCCTTTGGATATGGGCCATACTCAAGCCCCAAGCTGAGATGACGTTTCGTGAGGGTTTGCCAGACACGTTAAACACTTGCTTCCTTTTATGTTGGGGCAACGTGTATGCACAAGGAAAGTTGCCTTGCACCGTCGACTTTGATATGGTGGGAGTAGGAGGGTTTAGAAACGAGGGTGGGAACTTTCTTGTTCACAACCCTAAACATTTAATCTTGGGCCTGGTCTTGGAATTGGCTTGCTGCAGAAGCAGAAAGGCCTGCAGCTGACAATCAATTGATGCCTTGCGGATCCTGTGACCGGCTGCTCAAGTCGACCTCAATCAAGAAATGTTCTTTTGGGAGTCCCTGTTGACAGATGCCCACAAGACTCCAATGTTCAATCTTGTTAAGGGGTTGCCACGCGGGTCGTTCTGAGGAACCGGTGATGACTAGCCTCGCCGAGGGTGACGTTTTCCTTCCAAGCCCCGGCGCAGGCGACAAGTTGAGCCATTCCTTGGAGCTAGATGGGGTTGAGCCGATGTGTTTGCGGGCCCACAAAAAGCACTGGAACCTGAAAATCGCCTGTCAGATCTGTCCAATATAGCGCAAGTCTCCTCACACCTGAGAACCCTACCTTTCCAGCAAGGTTGCAAATGTGACTATTCGAAGTCAACAGCCCAAGTGTTGTTTCAGGCAACCAGGAAGTTGAACACCTGAATCTTATCCATGCCCATGCCCAGAATTGCAAGGATCCTGGTGTCCAGGCCTGGACAAGGACTGGGCTTGAGCGGCACTTGTCGGGTGAGGGGGTGGATGTGGTCGCTGGAAAGCACTCTTTCTGCAAAGGTGTTTAAGTGAAAGGGCTCAAGTTTTTTTAGACAGTGACACCTGTGACTGATCCCACAATTTGGAGGGGGTAGGTCATTGCAGTGGGTTCTTAAGATATAGGGGGACTTGTGCGCAACTCGTGAGCATGGCTGCTTGGGAAGGGTCTACGCGAGTTACAAAGCATGACCATCGGCATCGCAGCCATTGCTGCTGAGAGGCCATCAGGCCGGTGCGATTGAACCTGTTTGAAGCGGCCTCTCCTGTTTCACTGGGAGTGACGACGTCGGGCGATTTTGCCAACTTACGAAAGAAGCTGGGCTCGTTGGCTTGCTCGATGGAATGGGGTCGCCGTACTGGCCCTTCTTGCCCTCGGCGTCACAGAAGCGTTTAGTCGGGCTGCAACGATTCCCCCCATGAGGCGACTCAAGCCACGCAAGGCCCGCCTCTGCATGACAGCTTGTAGCAGCTGAAAAGTGGCCTCGCTAAACCTTGCTGATGGCTTTGGGCCAACGTTTGATTCGCTGCAAGCCACGCGTGTCCCTGACAATGCCTTCCCAGTGTTCGCACGCAATGTCGGAAAGGGCCAGGCCAGATGCCAGCAAGCGGAAAGGGAGGCGACGCAACGCTTGACTTGCTGGACGAGGAGGCTTTGCATCAAGGGGCAAAGGACTCCAACGAATTGAGCCCCTCCAGCTCGCGCGTCCCACGCGTGATGAGTGTTTTGTCAGCATGCTCTCAAGGATCTCGAGCCAACAACATGGTGGCAAAGCATTCTTGCCAGAACTTGGAAACCTGAGAGGCGGCAACACCTATCCTCGAGGCAATCCTTTGTCAAGCTCACCTCAGCTTGAGGCGACTGCATCAGCGCTGCTCCCCCACAAGGGCATCCGGGCCAGAAGCTGAGCCCACAGCGTCCACCCTTCGGGCCGGCTGCTTGTTGGCCTTGAACAAGATGGGTTGGGGCGTTGGAATATTTGCTTGGGGCCTGGGCATGTTGAGGGCGCAGGCTGACAGGCATTCATGGACCCGAGAGGGAGATTGGAGTGAATTCCAAACACTAGCTAAAAACGACATTGTGACGGTAGACTCCCTGGCGCCAGCCCACCTAGTGGCACACACATAGAGGCAGATTTTCCCAGCGAATTGCTTTCGTAGGATTGTCATTAACCCTTCTTTGAGACGAGTTGGGACGCTCCCACAAAGTAGGAAGCGCTGGACAATGCCTAGTATGGCCATGCAGAATATCTGGTGGATTCTAAGTGTTTCGGGTTTGATTGAAAAAGCCATGAAAAACCACCAGAACCTCGAACCTGGTTTGTAGCATTGCCAACCGCGTGTTGAACATGGGATGGGCAGGGCCTGGCATTGAGGTCTTCGACGCCCAAGCCTGGCGAATGCTGCCAACGAGCAGCCAGGGGCTGCTGAGGCAGTTCGGGCCTTAAGGCGGCCTGCAAGTTTCCGCAGCGCGAAGCGTTAGGAAGGGTCGTTCTAAGCCGACCGAGTCTCGTGGAAAGATGCCACATGTTTGCCATGCGCCCGCGAAGTAAAGAGGAACCCAGTTCCCAACATTGCAGGTGTCTCATTCCAGATGCCCGAAAAAAGAAAAGAAAAGAAGTGAGAAAAAAAAAGGCAAGCAGCAGATCTCAAGAGCTTCAGGGCAGATCTCTGCTTAAGGCTGGGCATCCGCGAGGCCCACCTGACCGAAAGGGGTTCGGGCTTAGTCTGTATAGAAGGTTGCTGTTGAACCAGCACCATCCAAGCATGAATCTCTCGACTACTTAAGAAGTTCCGAAAGAAACTGGCGTCGGACGCCTCTTTTTGGTTGAACATGTTGCAAGTCAGACAGGCAGTAGCAATCATATGGCTCAGGGACAAGATGTGCAACTCAAGACAAGGGCTTCTGCAAATATGACCATATCTAGTTGATTTAAGGGAGGGATTGATGTAGGACACACAAGCAGATATGGATTTCAGACATTGCTTGTGCAACGTTTTTCATGAGAAGAGAGAGCTCAACTTGAGACGTTGGGCTGCCGCCATGGAAAGCTTCTTGTTGGAAGATGTGATCGATACTCATATCCACTTGAGCGAGCACTACTCGGGAGGGCTGCAGAATTCCTGGCATCCCAAGGAGGCTGGCGGCTTCCGGCGTGACTGGCGCTTGGAAGACTTCCGCAAGAGTGCGGGCAAGGGAAAGTTCCAGGTGTCCAGGGCCATTTTTGTGGAGTGCTTTAACGAGCCAGCACTGGAGGAGGCCAAGTGGGTGCTGGGTCTGATGGAGCGCGAGGGCGCAGGGACCATCGCAGGGGTCATCGCACAGATCTGCGTGCAAAGGGGCGCTGAGGAGGTCAAGTCCTTTTTGGAACAAATCGCGGCGGCATTCGGCACGGTGCCCAAAGGCCTGAAAGGCGCGCGATATGTGTTTATGGCATGGGAGAATCAGGCAGATGACGCCTGCCTGGATGCTAAGTTCCTGGAGGGCTTGGCGGCACTGCAAGAGGCAGGCCTCATTTGGGAGTTTTGCTGCCAACCTCGCATGGCGCCGTACTTGCCTGCCTGTATTGCCAAGTTTCCAAGGATGACCTTTGTCATCGATCACCTGGCCCACAACGGGAACCTGGGCGGCGAGATGCATGTTTGGGGCCCCGCGATCGACGCCCTCTCCAAATTGCCAAATGTCTACATGAAGATGGGGGCGATGGAGCAATGGGACGTCAGCTGCCCCGGCGACTACATGGATAGGGCGATCGCCGCTTTCGGCTTTGACCGCATTCTCTATGAGTCTAACTGGTTCGTAAATGAAGCTGTGGGCGAGGAGTACGACAAAACGGCCTTGGTTCTGTATGACGCATGCAAGCGGGCAGGAGCCAGCCATGCAGACTTGAGAAAGGTGTTCCACGACAATGCGTGCAAAGTGTTCCGTGGCAGCACTCCCCAAACATTCTCCGCCAAATGTGCGTCAAGAATGGTAAATGAAAGGCACAGATTAATATTGAAAGTATCCTTGTGAAGTGGGCAAAAGATTAAGGATGTTGAAGGTTTGCTGGAGAAGCACTTTCAAGCCTTGCACGCAAAGGTCACACCTGCGTTTGAAATAAGTGTTTGTTGGCGGCGTCCTCTTGTTCATTGGCCTGGCAGTTGAAGTGAGTTCGTGTTCGGATTGTCGCTGGTTTCGATGTGAGTCTTCGAGCCGGGAGGCAAATATAAGTTTTCCTTGCTCTTTGCTGTCTGAGTTCCACGGTTTTCTGTTGGCAAGTGGCCTGTTCCACAAGAACGTCCGCTGCGCTTTTGACAAACGCCTCTCACTTGAGCACATGGGCTAGGTGCAATTTTTCGGTGGCAGCTCGATGTTTGGGGCAGCGCTTAGTGTTTGCACACCACTTGAGCATGGGAAAGAGCCATGCCGGTTTGTTGGAAGCCAAAGGCGTAGCAGTTGTTTACGTCCTGCCGAATCCTTGCGCCGTGCTTGGTCCATACTTTGGGGAATCTCCATATGCTCTATCCCATGCAGCTAAGGTATCAGCTGGCTGGATGAAACCTGGAGGTTTGCGCACCAGACGGCGTTATTTGCCTGAACTACTGAGCGGGCCATCTTGCAACAAGCATGAGAAAAGCAATCCCACGGCGCTGTCATTTGGCAGTTTCTTCTCGCAGTTCAAAATGTGACCCGTTTGAGATGTGATCAAAACTGCTGATGCATCACCCGTCCGGCAATGTTTCGCTGTTCCTTGGCTTGTGGAGTTCTAGTGTCAATCGCGTCTTAGACGTGCGTTTCAGTTCCTGAGTTCATCTTCGGGATGCGCAAGTTCTAGGCTGAATTTCCCATTGTTTTGAAGTTCTCTTAATGGGTTGGACCATCGACACCAACCACGCCAAGGCATCAAAAAGTGAATCAACGCGCTGAAGGATCATGCCAGCTGTAGGCCTCTCTTGACGTTGCCCCATGATGAATAAAGCTTCATCGGTTCTGAATTGTGCGCGCGCGGATGTTTCCGTTTTGGGGGCAACTTTTTGTGGCGAACCTCCCAGAAACCAAGATCCTAAAAATGGTTCATCGGATTCGGCGACACTTGCTTTCAGGCGACGCTCATGGAGGCAGCTGCGACAGTTGTCCGCCAGAGCCCTGAGCATGAGCACTGGTTTTCGAAGTTGAGGAGGTCTGCCCCACACGAGACGTCAGAGACAGGGGATGGACACCCAACAATGTTCAGGAAGAAGATGAATTACTTGCGCGAGCTAGAGTTCTACGGCTCAATTGAACAGCCCGCGTCATGGCAAGATCGGGGTTATTGTTTGGGGAGAAGTGGTCTTCAAAAGTTCAAGCCTTGCAATTCAAACGTATGCTTCATCATTGTTGTCGGATCACCTTGCCATACTCTGTTCGAATGGGTCAGCCTCAACCCTTCAGTTTTGTGTGCAAGTTCCTGACAGCTCTTGCGTCATCCATGGTCAGGTCACTCAAAGAGGATAGGCCATCAGAAAGGAGCATGCGGAACCTGACCCAGCAGTCCCGCAGAGTTGCCTCCGCTGGTGTGAAGTGATTTGTACATCAGGCGTCCATGCATTGCAGCTGGATGAAAGTGCGCGGCTGGCGGAATTCAGTCAGACACTCAGAATGTTGTTGGTTTGCAAATGTTGGACCTACCAAGCTGCTTACCATTCGTGTGAAATGTTCAATCAAACGTTGCAGGACGGAGCATCAAGCTGTGGCTCAAAACTGGAAATCGACCCTTGACACACCCGCCCAAAATCAGGCAAATCTTAAAGGAAAGGGTCAAATCCAGACCCCAAAGCATGCCTGTGTGTGTTTTCCCATGTTGTCCGTCAGCTGGAACCCATGGTGATGCTCAAAGTTGAAGGGCTTGTGGCTTGCTGCAGGTAGCAGCTTCGCAAAGCCCGGCAGCGAAGCTGCCGCAGAAGCGGAGGCAAGGTGGAGAAACGACCAGCTGTCAGAAGAGGCGTGCCGGCAAATCTGTTGAATTCCACTCGCATCCCAATAGTCTTCATATTAGACAGCTGCATTCATCGATGAGATCGGTTGACGAGAGACGTTGCCCCACCACAGGACTCAGCCCTTTGATTCGGCCTGTTGGTCCAATTGGAAGGTGCCCCCCGAAGAGTATATAAGAATGAGCCAAGCAAAAAGAGGGCTCTGAAACAAGCAAGAAGCATAGCAACTACCAGGAAGCAAGGCATGCACCATTGCAATCATTGCAAGGCAGTCCAGGCAGTCAGCGAGCATGGTCAAATGGCTGTGGGTCAAAACTAGGTATCCAAAATTGAACCCTGGTAAGTGGTAACATAGACTAAAACCTGCGGTCCCCTGGTGGTTTAATTTTGACCCATACCCAAATCAACGTTGAGAAGTGATCGCTGGCATGCCATTTTCAAAGATTAAATTGCCTGCTGTGGCGTGTGCAGCAGATGAGGTCGGCTGGAATCCCCTTCAAGTACAGGCATTGTCTTGTGTTGGGAGTAGATTCCATGGGGGTTCACAGGTGTTGGAAGATCCAAAGAGTGCCCTCAGCCCAAAAATTGTCTGGGCCAAAGTTGTCTGGGCCAACTTGTGGGCTGAGGGCATTCTTTGGATCCTGTGTGGCCTGTGAGACTCTGGTACGGACGGATTTGAGCACAGATGCAAGCAAAAAAAGCGGATGCATTGTCAGCTTGAGGGAGAAGGAGATGTTTGCCTCATGTGTGCTTGCATTCTGAATTGTTGTTCTTGGATACGCAGGATTGCATGAGCATCCATTGCTGTCTCCCAGCAACAATTTCAATCAGTCTACGGGCTGCATCACTCCAAGGAGTTTGCTTGAGAGCATACAGCTGGCTGCTAGGCAGAGCTTCAGGTGATGTGGGCAGGGCTCGAGGCAGTGCGCACGCTACTCAGACCGCGCTTGCACAGAACTGTCCTATTCAAACTGGGGTCTGAAGGCAAGCTGCGCGTGGCCGTGTGTGTGTGCGCGCGATTGCAGCCTTGAGTTTTGCACCATGGGAGGCTTCCTGATACAGAGTGAGCAAAATTGCGTATTGGGTGCTTGTGTTTTTTCAGTGACGATAGTGACAGCTAGACTTCCCCAGGCTCAGCACGAGAAAGCTGCCTGACTTCTTCAGGCATGCCAGTTGCGCAGGCGGGTAGCAAAATTTGAGAAGATACTGTGCCGTGGAGACCTCATGCAAAGTGTAGTATGTAGTCAATACGTGCGTTTGATTTGAAGCACCTCTATTTGTGATATTAGGGGAGAAGGAGGCAATGCATGATAGACTGTATTGTGTTTGATCGGCACGCCAGCCACACACCCTGTGCCCCGGTCCATGGACAGGCCGAGTCCAAGCCGGGATCACAGTGTGAGTGCTTGCTTCCTCGCACGCAAGCACTCACGAGCTAGATGAGCGTGTCTCCAATGAGGGGCCTGTCCGGATGGTTGCTTTCCGGTTGGTTCCATGTTCCCAGCATCCAAAACGAGCGTCCCCATTTTCAGAGGCACCTAGATGCAACCTCCAGACACCTCAGGCTGAATCCTGCAGAGTGCTGCGCTCCGATCTTTGGCACTGCCCTCACTGCTTTGTAAATGCGCAAGCGCGCACGTGCATGTTTGCGGCGCCGCCAACGCATTTCCAGGATCTGAAGTGACCGAGTGATAGGTGGCCATGGGCGTTTGAGAAGTTCAGGAGCTGAACCTCTACACTCGAAATGGCCAAAGATGTCAACAATCAAATTGTTATGAAAATGATATTGTTTTCATGCTGAGCAATTCGTGCTCTGGGGCCAGTTCTGGTCGCTTAGGGCCTGAGAAGTCGCCTTTGCAGCTGGGTGCGGCTGTCAGACCCCTAGCATCGCAAGGCCGAGGTCCAGGATGATCAGCTCTTGATTCCCGAGTTCGGTTGCCTTTCTGTCCCGATGATCAAGACAATTGGTTTGGTGGCCTTCTTGCCTTTTTGTCCCGATCATCAGCTCTTGATTCACAATTGTATTTTGAGAATTGACTGCCATACCACTTCAAAGCTGCAGCCACGAGTTCATGCACCCGCGCGCTCAAAGGACTTGTGAGCCCGTACGTAATGTCTCAGTAGCTATCGTCGCTTTCTTGACCTTGCCTCACTTAGCGCACTCTTGCAGGGCGGCATCCACGAGTCTCGCACCCGCATTTCCTGATTGCGACAGCCCCAAATCCCAGTCCATTGAAGTGTCCTCTTTAAGTTCAATCTGCAAATGGTGGGAAACAAGCCTGAAAAGTGGTTTGGTTTGGAGAACCCCCCAGTCTGCCTCACTTTGGAAAAAGAAAATGTCCGAAGAGCCTCGTGGCTCTTGCGTGAGGCCTTGGGAAGCGTCCTTTGGCTGGCGACCAGATCTGTGTCACTGCCTGGGTTGTGCCTGGGGAGGAGTGTCCACATTGCGAGTGAACGATAAATCTTAGCGGTTCAATCGGGCAGCAAGTGTCATGGTGTGGGGAAATATGGGACTTCGCATGCGCCCCAATAGCAGCAGTCGGTAGTCCAGCCAATGGCTCGTAATATGTATATGTAATACTCAAAGGGAATAGTTGGCTTTGTTTGGGGGAGTGCCCCAACAATCTATTATTTCTGAGAACACGCAAAGCACACAAAACAACATTTGAGAGTCTAAGAGCAATTGTTGGTTTGATTTGTACCTCGAGCTTGGTTGGTGGTTTGATCTGAAAACCACGGAAGAGCACCAAACTGCAGGAAATCCAACAAAACGCAAATTACTTTTGGGAAACCCAAGCAACCCAATGACGTATATCAAACCAAAGATTGCTCTCAGAATGCTTGGTGTGGTTTTCCCGCAGTTGGTTGTGTTCGTTGGTTGTCCTCGAGATGTGTTTGTGCTCTTGCCTGGTCACTTTTTCTGTTCCTGTCCAACAAAAATGCAAAACAAAGGCAAAAAAGAAGTGGGGAGAACAAAAAAGGAATAAACATGTCATGCCAAACCCACAGTTCTCCTAGAAGCTTGTTTTTGGTTGTGTGTTTTGTTCATTTGAGCGACGTTCTGAATGTACTATTCGGGAGGAAGTATTGTTTTGAAAGTCTTGATTTTTCCTTTGAGGTCGCGGAAGGGCTTCGCCAATGTTGTCGTGATTGCCTTTTTTTCTGCTAGTCTTTAGCACTTGATTTCAAAGACTAAACAGGTCAAACAAGTACCTTTTGACCTTTGTGTGTCAATGTCGTTCCTAGACAATGAGCAATGCGAAACAGCTCATGCCTCGCAAAACACATTGAAACACCGTGTGTTCAAAGAATAGTCATGCAAGTTTCAAGAACGCAAGCCGTTTTTTGGATTTGAGGCTGGCTGCACATTCAATTTGAAGCAAACACTGGAAACAAGTTTTTTCAAACTGGTTTCAGTGCAAGGCAGCCAGAAATGTAGTTCTTGAGGGTGTGTGACCACAATATATCCCTACCCCCAAGGCCACATGACGTCTCCGGTTTGGCACAAATATGCCCCAGCCACTGGGGAGCCTCTTGGCCAGGTGGAGGGGAGCCTCTTGCTGCGCCGGGCGCCCGCGCTTTCGCGGCCCTCCTTCCTAGGCGAGGCTTTTTTCAAAGGAGTCTCGGATGGACGAATTCCTTTTCGCACCACCTAAGAAACCTTGGAATGATTCGATTGCCCCACAAATACCAACAAGCAATGGTTTCCCATGGTTTCATTTTGGTGGATTTTGTCCATCCACAGTGGCTGTGGGCTTGGGTCAATGGCATCAGACACTTGTCTCGACACTGTGTCCACGTGAATGGGATGTTTGGGGTGCAAAAAGGCACGGGCGTCGGCGATCAAAGGGAAATCGATGAAAGGTCAGGAACTGCACTTCCTTGGTTTGCCAACTTGAAGCTGCACACTTGAAGGGTCCCGAAAAGAATCATTGCCACTCCGAAGCCAAAGTGTGTATACTTCGCTGGAACGCCGGATGCCCTGCAAGCGAAGATGGTGAAGCGCTTGTAGCCTGGCATTTTACTCGCATCAGGTAGCCATTTGAACAGCGCCTCGTTTTGAGTGTTGGGAGTGTCCTTGCCCGACCAACCTTGGCTCAAGCCAATGCCGCCTCATCCCACCGCAGCTGGCAATGTCGAACTTCGGGGCCAAGCTGCATGGCGAGGCGATGCTGGCGAAGATTGAGAGGGACGTCTTGCACACGCGGCCGGGCAGCAACCGGCTCGCGGCGGCGCTTGCAGGTCTTGAGCAAGTCGCACAGCAGCAACGAATGCAGGTGGACCAGTTTGTCCAGGAGCGGATGACTTTGCGGAGAATCGCCGGAGCTGGCGGAGCTGGCGGAGCTCAGAATGAGGATCCCTTGGCCATCGAGTGTTGAGCGCAGCAATTCACAGCATTCTCTGTGGGGTCGAATGTTGGGCCCCGTTAGCAGCTCTCCGGTGCGCAGTTGAATGCCAGAAAATGGAAGCAGAGTCATTGTATTCGTGAACATGACAGAACGAGGAGGTGCAGGGACTCAGGGAGGTCAGATGCATATGCCGGGCATGAAGCATGAATTCACTCGGGCACTGCTTCATCCTTATCGTCCGAATAGCGCGTCGATGAATGGGGCTACCATCATTTACCTTGCAGCTGCGGAAACCTGTTTCTCCCTGCAAAATTTCCGGGGTGAAGGCAGGGTTACATTTCGCGGCCCAGGGGGCAAGGGAATTCGGATTTGTCAGGCGTCGCTGTGGAGTCGCCGGATCTTGCAGCCAATGAGGAGGAGCGAGGAACCACCCCGCAAATCAAGCGTTCCAACTTTACAAAGGAAACTTGAAGAAGACGAGTTATATACTTTAAAGAGGGTCAAAAGAGTTGATTTTTTTTCCACGAACTCGAGGCGTACACCCATTTACAGAAATGTCGGGGAGGAAAAGAGGTTTGATAGTTTTTGGGAAGCGACTTCGGCTGAGTTTACGATGTGACTACTTTCAGGCTGGTGTGGGTCTGCCTTGACTAGTGCCTTGGATCATTGGCTGGAAACTACTCATCTATTGCGATATTAACATTATCAGACAAATAGTTTGAAAAGCCAGTTTTGCCTGGGGACAGTTGTTAAGATTATGCATTATATATATGCGCACCTGATCTTGCCAAAGCCTCTCCCCGCTGTAGCGTTTCACATCGAGCAGCCAATCCGAAGGACATCCAGGAGCAAGACAGCGCCTGAGCTTTCGCAATTCAAGGGCAGAGCTGTTTGTGGGCACTTCGCTCTCGCAGCCGGGATGCCCCTGCTTCAACAACATGCGATTTCCGAGCGCCTTTGTTGTATTGCCAAAGATCTGCAGCAAGCTGTGCGGGGGGGAAATACTTAAACAGAATCCGGTAGCCATGCGATGTTTCTCGGGAATTCGTTTGTTGGATTTTGGATTTGGTCTCAGGTTTGGAAGCTCCCATTTCTTGAGGGCAAGCAGTGCGAGCTGCTCGCTTTGACATCAGGTCCCTGGAGAGTCGCCCGGTTTGAGGCGAGCAGTTGAGTTTGCAGGTTGATCCGTGAGAATGCAGCAAAACTGGGGGCCCGTTTCAGAGGGGCGTTTTTGGAGTGGGGAGGAAACCGGCCATGTGAAGGGATTTGACTTGAAACAAAGACACACACACACACACAGACACACACAGCCACACATCGGAATTAGGACCAGGAAGTATGTGTTTGGTTGGTGAGAAGAAGAAATGAGCAAGGACACCAATGATGTCAATGGTGAGGAGGGTTGACCGTTTGACTGTTGCAACGCCTGCACCTAGACAGACGAGAGACCTTTTTGAGGCGAACTGCATGCGGAGTCATGAACGTTCAGCCGAATACATGTGCGTCATCGTATCCCGCCGGCAAGTTGGGCCATACTCTTTTAATCCAGGCCAGCGCCCTCCAAACCTCCAGTGCTGCACTCAGCAAGCGAAGAGTTCAGAGCGATTTTGGTCAGAGCAGGTGAGAGAATGGCCACTGGCCTCCCGGCAGTCGATCGTGCAAAGTTGACGTAAGCTACACTTACGCACAGGTGGCAATGCCAGCTCCATCAAGCACCAGCGCACAGGCGTCAGAGAGTCGGAATGAGAGCAGACGTTCTATAACTGTGAGCATGTGTTTGCAGGTGAGGGCACGTTCTGCCTATGCAGAGAGTTAATGAAATCCGCAGTACCATCGCACGAATTCTCCTGCGCAAGCACCGTGATTTAGTGTGCAAGCACAAGAATCAACAAATCAGGTTTTGTGGACGCATGTTGAGAATGAGCCATGAGTTGCACAGGACAGCTTCGAGAATGCCCTCAGGCTTTGGCCTCAGGAGATCAGATCACCAGGTACCCCAGCGAATTGCTCGGCGTTTTATCCAGACTGTGCCTCTTCCCTTTTCTCTTCCGCTGACAGAGCTCTGGCCCGAAACCAGACGGACCCTGACAGCCTGACGCATGAGGTGGGAGGCCTTTTTGGCTGACCTCACGACTGCCAGGAGCTCAATGATCCAAATTGCATCTGATGTCAACTCCTTGGTGAAGTGTTTGGGTGATTTGCTGGAGTCGCCAGTAGTACCTGCTTGCGTCGAAGATGCAGCTGCAGCTATTTAGCATTGCCTGACGAAGCCACGCATTGAATACCACTAAAGGGCAGATTTGATGGCTAGCCATGGATTTCACATGCAGTTCGAGTAGTTCCAGTGGGCTAAATTCCTGGCGGGGGGTCTGCAACACCCAAGGGAAGGCAAGTCTTGCATGAGCTCAATGCTCATAGGCCGATTCGGGCGCAGAGTGATCACGCCCCACAATATTCCGTTTTGGCATAATGCCAGTAATATCTTGCTACATGTGCTGTCTACATCACATAGCGCCATTAGATGTTTAGTTCGCAATGATGCAACACTCTTTATGTGCTAAGGGTCCACGGTATATATGTATATATACATATATGTATACATATATATATATATATATACATATATATATACATACATTTTGTGTGCATATATACATATATATATATATATGTACATATATATATATATATACATTTTGTGTGCATTTCTACATATGTATATATATATATATATATGTATATGTACATATATATATATATATATATTGTGTGCATATATACATATATATATATATGTACATATATATATATATATATATACACATTTTGTGTGCATATATATATATATATCATCCCATACTTTGTCGTTGCGAGCACGTACCAAATGCCGGTCCCAGGTCCAGCCGGCCTACGGCACCATCCCGCTGGGCCCAGTGGCGGAACCTTGGCTGAGTGGAACTCTGGGGTTCCACATTTGGTCCCTTAAGGCTGAAACTCCACAAAAAAAATGCGGTTTTTCAACTCAGACCCGAAGGAACAGGCACGAAATCACACATGCTTCCCATGTGCCCTTCAAGACTATCTCCTGGGCATGAACCCTTTGAACCCACGCAAGGCTCCTCACAGTAGTCCTACTTGACAGATTGAAGGTGCTTTAGCCACAAGTTGGGTGGCTTTCAAGTTGGGTTGTTATTGCAGGTACATGATGTTTTAGGATCCGTTTCACCTACGTTTGTCGTGGCAAAGGTCAGAAGTCTGGAAGGCAGTTTGGCAGAGGAAGCATTGTCAATGATGCAATGTTGATGTTGATACTGACCAGAAGTAAAAAGAGATGTATTTTGCCAGACAACCCTGCAGTGTTGCAGTCAGAGCTGTTCCAAAAGAATGTGTTGCCAACCTCTCAAAAAGCTCAGTCACACAAGACTTATTTGTGATTCGGAGGCCTATTTTCCTGTGTTAAGATCAACTCCAACAGCTCACATGGCAAGATTACTGAACATATTGATATTGGAGACCCGTAAGCATCGCATCACGAGCTAGCCCAGACTGGCCCGTGGTTGTTGCTGTCTACCAGCAATGACCTTCATCATGGTTATGTTATCCCGAATTGTCAAAATCCTTTGACTTCGTACACTCCGCAATGGCTGGTGCACTGCGAGACATGCGTGTTTGTAAAACGTCTTCTGAGAAGGGAACCGGTCTTTGCATCCTTGGATGCTTCGATGGTGAAAGTTCGCTTCAGCACTGCTTCCTCCAGTGCCCTGCATATTTCGCTTGGACTTGGGAAGGCAGTTT